TACTCGATCCTGATGGGCATAGAAACTCGCCAGCTCAGATCCCATCAGGCAAGGAGGTCAAGGTCCCAAATGCAAAACGTCAGCTGCTCATGCTTGGCATAAGGCTTTAAGTATTAAATTTAAATATCGCCGACACTTTTCTTCAGTCTGCTCAGTAAGTGGGGAAGGGGGATTTATGGTGTTCATTCTGTTTGTGTTGATAGGTGCTGCCCAGCTGGCCTCACAATCATGGCTAGGTTTGAGGCCGGCGTTGCGGCTACTGTGTCAGCCCATCGCCTTGAGGGGCTGCCTCTTTGTTACTGACCATCTGCTTTACCAAGCCTGATGTCCTTCTCCAACACATAATTCAAAGTCTTCAGTTCTTCTTTGGGCTCCTGGATTCCTTGTCCAGCTCTTACCTGTCTCTTCATTCGAAATCCAGTGGTCAACAAGGGTTTCTCGTTAGTCAACAGTGATTTGCACCAAACTTGTTTTTGAGTGAAAGTCTACAGAGTTGCAGAGCAGAGAATCACACTTCTTAAATAGTATTCAGATTATTTAACGATTTCACGACCCCCCCTTTACTACTTCACCTCAGTATCATTATTCCAGATGCATATCTGGAAGGTGTATTTCTAGTGATAGAATAATATATACACATTATAAAGTGAAAAACTCAGGAAAGTGTGAGCAATTTGAAGTCACCCATAATCTCCCATCTCAAAGTAAATGTTTGGGGTATTTCTTTTCCAAACATCCTCTAGAGCCTTCTTGACACATATATTCCTTCTTTAAAAAACAAACAAACAAAAAAAAACACTATTTTTTTTCTTGTTAATGGAGTGAAGGTTTACAGATGATCAGTTTTATATTCAATAAATCATACACTTTGCTTCATTCTATAGTTGCAGTTCCCTCCATGCACCACCAGTTAATAACAGCATTGGCCTCTGTTCACTTTAACCACTGCGTCCCTCCCTCTGTCTCCCACCACCCCCATCTTTCCTCTGCCTGCCCGTCCATCACCCACATCAACGCGTGTCTACCCTCTAGCGCATGCATTAAAAACTACATAGTCTTTCTTGATGTTGCATTTTCACTTCGGTTTTTAAATTCCTTTCCATTTTACTTTTTTAGCTGAAGTGAGGTGGCATTCTAAGTTCGGTGCTGAGAAGTTGGTTCTGACTCTTAGAGAGCCTGTATACATCCAAACAAAACACTGCCCGGTCCTACACAATCCTCACAACCTTTGCCATGTTTGAGCCCAATGTTTTCACCTCTGTGTCAGTCCACCTCTTGGAGGGTCTTCCTCTTTTTCACTGACCCTCTATTTTACCAGCTATGATGTTCTTCTTCAGGGGCCAGTGTCTCCTAATAATAGGCCCAAAGTTTGTGAGATGAAATCTCGCCTTCCTTTCTTCTAAGGAACATTCTGATTGATCTTCCTCCAAGATAAATTTGTTCTAAGTTTAATCCAAGCAAAAATTTCACTGCATTGCTTTTGGCAATCTAGTTTTCCAGATTTTTTAAATCAGGGAGGTCCTGGTATAACCTAGATGGTACAGAGTCTGGGCCAGGGGTATCTGCCTCACCGAGGAGCTCGTTAGATTCATAAACATTCCACCCGGTGCGTGACTGGGGAGGCCCAGGAGACACGACTTTAACAACTCCCCTGACAATTGAAGTCCTTGGGTTTCTGCTTGGGGAGATGAGCAGGTTAAAGACAAGCAGAAAAGGAGAAGAGTCCCTTGCTTGCCAAACTCCCCTATTCACTCACTCTGACTGTCTACTATTACCAGGTTACCTGGCTACGGTCTGGAACCTGTTAAAATTGTTCATGGAGACCTCCAGTGTGTCAGACTAGAACCATGCTCCGCGGGGTTTTCAATGGCTGATGTTTTTGGAAGCAGACTGCCAAGTCTTTCTTCTGATGCACTTTTGGGTGAAGACAAACCTCTGACTTTCCCACAAGGAGCAGTATCTGAGCGTATTATCATTGGCACTGGCTGTCGACTGAGGAGTACGGTCCCTCTCTGAAGCTCTCCCAGCCACCACTCACTCTTCCGACCAACCAGCCCATCATTGACACAGATCAGCATAGGATGAAGAATGGGCAAGTATTTGGTTTCGTTCAGACAGCTTTTCTTCAGCATGTTGTTGTTGTTAGGTGTGGTTGAGTCTACTCCACCTCATAGCGACATGGTGCACAACAGAATGGAACACTGCCTGGTCCCTCGCCATCCTCACAGTTGTGAAGCCTGAGCCCACCCTGCTCTCACTGTATCAGTCCATTGGCTTGGGAGTCTTCCTTTTTTTCACTGACCTCCACTTTACCAAGCAAGTTTTCCTCTCCAGGGACTGGTCCCTCCTGATGACATGTCTGAATTAGGAGAGACAATCTTGGCATCCTATCGTGTCAGGAGCATCTGGCTGCACTTCTGAGACTGACTTGTCTGTTCTGGAGCTCCATCGTACATCTAGTAGTCTTCTCCAACAGCGCAGTAGAGACCACCGAGTAGAAAGAAACGCAACACAAAGGTTTGCCTTCAAGGTGTGCCATAATCTTGTGAGGCAATCCGATTCCTGAATCTTGGTGTGGAGCTGTGGGTTAATGCGCAGGACTGCAAAGTTGTTTGAACCTCAAGGTCAGCAGTTCAACCTCACCAGCTGCTCCTTGGAAACCCTATACAGGGTCGTCATGGGTCGGAACCGACTTGACGGCATGTAACAGGAACAACAACAACAGATTCTAAATTGACTATATTTAATGTCCTAATCCCTCCTAACTGCTGTCACAGAAACGCTGCAGGACAAACGAGAACTGCCCCAAGACTGGAAACCTTTACAGAAGCAGACTGCCACATCTTTCTCTCAGGAAGAAGCTGGTGGGTTCAATCTGCCAACTTTTTAGTTAATAGTCGTACAGATTAACCACAAAACCAAGTCTGCTGCTGTTGAACTGGTTCCTTTTCACAGCCACCTGACAGGACACAGCACAAGTGCCCCATGGGGTTTCCACGGCTGACGTCATTACCCAAACAGACGGCTGCATCTCTCTCCCTTGGAGCGGCTGCTGAAGTCCAACCATCAACATTTTCCTGAGCATTTTAACGACAGTGCCACCAGGCCTCCAGTCCAGCCCCTGAGGAAAAAGAGAAACAGACATATTGATTGGCATTCCTTTGGGCGGGGTCTAAATAGGGATCATTATATTGATGATCCCAATGCATCCATGAAACGGTTTCCGTGGAGACACAGCGGGTGTGGAGCCGTTTGCTTTCCTGTAATCCAGGTTGCTACTGCTCTTGTTGTGTGTTGTTGACTTGTGAGTTTCTGAGGAGCGGCTGTTGGATTTGAACTCTCATCCCACAGCAGCACACAAGCTAGTTCAGGGAACAGCCTGTGATGTACTATCTAGAACTACTCCCCTTTGCCTGTCACTGTGACCATGACAACACCGGGGACTTAGTGCTTTAACCTGCTGTTCACAGGTGTGTTGGCAGGGCCTAATCCAGTGCCCTGCATGGTACAAATCGTCTGCGAGCTTGGCTACTAACAGGAAGGTTGGAGGTTCGAGTCCACCAGAGGTGTCTCAGAAGAAACACCTGGTGATCTGCTTCCCATTGAGAACCCTGTGGAGCCCGGTTGTACTCTGATGCACATGGGGCACCTTGGTTGGAATTGGGTCAATGGCAGCTGGTTGGTAACTCCATGCCCACTGCACCATATTTGCTAAATGACGATCCACAGAGAAGGTGGGAGGGGAAGGAGGAGGTTACCCAGCCACAGGCTTGTAGAGGTGTTGAGGTAGCTGTAGGTTCCAGCTTCTCTGAGTGAGGACGCCCAAGAAGCCCTGGGAGCTGGTGGAGGAAGGAGAACCCATCAACAAGCACACAGGTCCTGGGAGCGAGCTTAGTGACCAGCAACCCCATGTCTCCAGCGTCAGACTCAACTGGATCGCAAAGGCTTCTTAGTTTCACCATGAGAGCGTGCCTTATCTTGATCAATGCCCACGAGGAGCTCTTTGGGACATTTCCTCAGTAGGAGGGTACACACTCTGTCTAGAGAGTCTCTCGGGAATGTCCACTTTGACTCTGCAAACAGGAGACCAAGGCAGCCTGTCAGGCTCTGTGTGGGGCAGGGGGAACCAGGAAAGGAGCTGCTGTTTCAGTGTGTGGACGTGCGCTGCCTCTCCACACAAGCTGGCCTCAGTGCACTTAAAGCCCCCTGTAGCCGATACAGCGGGTCTGGGCGACTCATTTTCCCCTTCTTTACCTGAAGGAAGTGGCCGGGGTTATAGATCACGACCTAAGGGCAGGCGACTTTAGCAACTGTGCAAAAAACAAACAGAAACTATGCTCTGTGTGCACATGTGTATGTGTGCACGGGTGTGTGTATGTGAGTGTATATATGTGTTTCTACGTGTGTGTACATGTGTCATGTGTGTATATATGCATGTATAGGTGTGTGTGTGTGTATGTGCATGTGGGCATATTTATGTGAGTAGGTGTGTGTGCATGTATGTTGTATATGTGTGTGTGTTTATATGTGAAGGAGAAAAAGACGTGTTTTCATTGATCTCTTAGAGTTTCGTTGTCTTTTGCCTCAGCTTATTTTATGCCCTTCTCAAGGCTCTCAGTTGAAAACACAACACAACAGACAATATTGATGGTATTTCAACAGAAAGTCCCTGTTGAGGTATCGGAAAATAGTGGATTTTTTTTCAGTAAGCATGAGCCTCACTGGACCAGACTTTACGTTTGTTTAACAGCCCGTGAATTGTTTTAGTTTTAGCCTCAACTTTGAAGCCACACCGACAACTTAGTGTCTTCCTTGGTGCGGAAACATTCACTGAATCAGAATCCGGCTATGAAGCTCAGTGTAGACAGGCATCTTATCCTAACTCAGGGACCCCCATACACTGGTTCCCCCCACAGCTTCAGGCCCCTGGGACCCCTCCAGTGCAGCTGTCCTGCGCTTGGCTTTCCAGGCACTGTGATCATGTGGTCCTTTCATTTCAGCTCTCTACGAGCCATCCTGTGAGGCCTACAAGCATTTGGGCCAGACCTCCAACTACTACTGGATTGACCCTGATGGCAGCGGCCCCCTGGCCCCTCTGAAAGTCTACTGCAACATGACAGGTAAGTGACCCCCTGAGTCTGCTTCTCCTGAGTGGCATTCTTATCACAGCATGCCCTGGGCATTAGAGAAAATGTCAAGATGAATTCCTAAAGCCATGAAAATGCCTGGTGCTGTCTGCACAGTAAAGCCCACCTCTGGCTTGAGCAGTGGCGGGTGAGCGTTTAAAAAATCAATAACAGAGGGGAAAATGAAAAGCAGTTTCAAGGTTGAGGTGACTGGGTGTCAGGAAGATATGGCCATGGAGTGGCCTCCACAGGTGGTTTGGATGTGGACCTCTGGAGTCTCTGCTGAGGTGCCCTGTGTCTGTCTCTGCTGAGGTGCCCCATGTCTCTGCTGAGGGGTCCGATGTCTCTGCTGAGGAGCCCCATGTCTCTGCTGAGGTGCCCTGTGTCTCTGCTGAGGGGCCTTTGAGGGACAGCGGTGACCTTCCCAGCCGGCCCCCGTATCACCCCACACGAACAAAGATTACCGGCAGCTCCCAGGGAACGCCTCTTGGGAAGAGGACTGTATTAATTTCAGGGCTGTGGAATGAGGCCTGGGTTCTTGTGGACTCCCACAGTGGGGGAACCATGTGCAGCTTCTAAGAATATGGGGAAGTTTCCCACCGATGCTTGGCAATACCTTTTGCTCCAAAGGCTGGGGCAGGTGTGACTCATCTATGGCTTGCTGCCCTGCACTCCCAGAACAGCTGAGTCAGGTGGTGACAAGACGCCAATAATAGAACTCAATGGTGACAGTTACTACCTTTGCCTTCCTGTGGGGTGTCGGGTACCATAACGAATCAGTCCTTTGGTAGGTCCATAGATGCGCCATCTTGGGCACCTTGCTACCAAGTTCCTCTCAACAAGATTCCGTGTCTTCATATGTGAGAAGGAAGTAACCCATAGATGGCTGTGAGCACATTATCTGGTATTTCATATACTTTCAGTACAGCTCACCCTGGAGGGTGGGATGATTACTGTTCCCTTACGGCTTTGAGAGTGAAGTAACTTGCTTACTGCATGCCAGTAAGGTTCAAAATTCAATTTGGTTGAGGCCTAGGTTTGTTTGTTTGTTTTCTTTTTTAGTGTGGTCAGTATGTGCAGTAAATTGTTTGCCAATTCAGCATGCTTCGTGTGACAGTCATTGTGTTTATAGTGTTCTTCAGCCATCACATTGGTCTGTTTCCAAATTTCCCAGCACCCTTAACAGAGGCTCCATGTGCCCTAGCAAGTGTCCTTCCCTTGCCTCCCTCCCTCCCCCTTACCCCTGGTGTCCACTCATAGACTTGTACAATTGTACAATTGCCTGTTGTCGACATTTCCTAGAGAGTGGGCTCTCCCAGCATTGGTGCTTTTGCCGTGAACTGATGTGTGTCCTTCTCAAAGTTCTTCCATGAAGCCGTGTGTAGCAGAACTTCCTTTCTCTTCACCACAGAGTCATGTTACATGGCCTGGATTGGCCATGTCTGCTTTACCTGGTCACCTGGTGATGGACTTTGAACAGTCTGAACCTTTAAGCTGGTGTGAACATGGGTGTGCAGGCCAATGCTTCTGAACTTCAGCTGTACCTCTGTTTATTTTATGCAAACTCAGTGCCCCCTAGGGGTGTGATTGAGTAGGGTGTGAGGTGGAAGGAGTGCAGTTAGAATGAAAAGCTCCTGAAGGCTGTGTGACAGGGGCTCCCAGGGGAGGATCCCAGCACACCAGCATCCATGCATGGGGCAGAGCAGGAGGGGGGTGAGCAGAACCCGGGCGTCGTGAGGATGGTGTGGAGAGAAGGTGGAAGGATAGGGTGCCCTTCCCAAACAACCCCTCCGAGGCCAGGTCTGTTAGCATGCACCCCACTTTCCAGAGCGCTGTGTCCAAGAACCTTGATTTTAATCTTACCTGAGTGGAAGTATGCACTCTGAGAACCTGATGAAAGATCACTTGTCTTGGTTTTTTAGTGCTGCTATAACCTATATACCACAAGTGGGTGGTTTTATAGAAGGTACATTTAGTTAGTATCTTCTAGTTCCTAATTTTGGGGTCCTGGTGTAGTGCTGTAGGATAAGAACTAGACTGCTCACCATAAGGCTGGTGGTTAAAACCCACCAGCCACTCCTTGGAAACCTTAGAGTCACTAGGAGTCAGAGCTGACTTGGTGATATTTAACAACAGGAGATAAAATTCCAAATCCGGGCTCTCTTCCCTGACTGCTTCTGAGGGATCTTTGTCTCAGCTTCTCCAGCCTTCTTTTAGGCGCTCACTGGAGATGTCCTTCCAGCATCTGTCTCCCCCCATTTGTGTTTGCATCTCTGTCCCTGCTGTGCTTTTTCATATCTCAAAAGCCGTAAGGTTTAAGACATTCCCTACACTTAGGACATTAGGGTTAGGATACGGCCCTGTCCCCAAATGGGTCCTGGAAGAAAGGAGACAGCAGTGGAAGACACTGTTAAATCTTTATCTGTCATCTACCCTAAGGAGTTGTATCTGTGCCCAAATTGATAAAGAATAGAGTGGTCTTCCTTCTCTGTGGCCCAGATATCACTGGGTGGTATCACTGAATAGCTCAGATGTTTCAGCTATGGAGGCAGGGTACGTTTTGGGGGGAGAAGCGATGTTTTGTTAGTGACATACCCTTTCTTTGTTCTACGAAGATGGGTGGGAGGGGAGGGGGTCCTTCCCTTGCACAGATGTAGGGAAATTTCTAGAAGAGGGTTTGGACCGACAGGCATCTGAGCACTCAGCAGAACATCACTCCTGTGTGAAGCCTATTTCTAGGACTGTTGGGCTTTTCATTCACTTTCTCAGAAAAAAGAAGCAGGAGGAGGAGGGAGGAGAAGGAGGAGGGTGAAGAGGAGGAGGGAGGAGAAGGAGGAGGGTGAAGAGGAGGAGGAGGG